CCTAAATAGAACCCTTATAGTAGCCCTTGAGAACCCCCTTATAGACCCCTGTTAAGCGTACCCCTATAACCCCTCTCTCACCCAGAAAAGTCACCAAGTATAGTAGAACCCTAAACCGTAAAACCCTAAAACCCTAAACCCTAAACCCTAAACCCTAAACCCTAAACCGTGTCTGGGGACTAGGGTTCACAGTTCGGGGTCGAGTTTTCGGGGGAAAAAAGGCGGGCACTGAGCTCCAAGTCGCAATGGACTGAGTCACAGCCTAAACGGCTTAGGGTTTTGGGTTATAGGATCATAGGGTTTAGGGTTTAGGCTTTAGGGTCATGGGGTTCAAGGTCTAGGGTGAAGGGTTTAGGTTTAGGGTGTAGGGTTTAGGGTCTAGGGTCCAGGGTGAAGGGTTCAAGGTTCGGGGTTTAGGGTTCAGGGTTTAGGGTCTGGGGTTCAAGGTATAGGGTTTAGGGTTTAGGGTGTAGGGTTATAGGGTTCAGGGTCTAGGGTTCAGGGTTTAGGCTTTAGGGTCATTGGGTTTAGGGTCGAGTCGAGGGTGAAGGGTTTAGGTTTAGGGTTTAGGGTTTAGGGTTTAGGGTCTAGGGTGAAGGGTGCAGGGTTCAGGGTTTAGGGTTCAGGGTTTAGGGTCTAGGGTTCAGGGTCTAGGGTTTAGGGTTTAGGGTTTAGGGTTATAGGGTTCAGGGTCTAGGGTTTAGGGTTTCGGGTTATAGGGTTGTAGGGTTTTGGGTTTAGGGTTCAGGGTTTAGGGTCTAGGGTTTAGGGCTATAGGGTTATAGGGTTCAGGGTTCAGGGTTTAAGGGGCCTAAACCCTAAAACTTTAACCCAATACACCCTAAACCACGGAAACACACACGCTTAGGATTTAGGGTTTAGGGTTTAGGGTTTAGGGGTTCAGGGTTTAGGGTTTAGGGCTTAGCAACTACGGTGTAGGGTTTGTGTTGTTGAACGACCCCCTTTTCTTGGGTTTAGGGCAGCACTTAGCGCTTGCAGGTTCGGGTTTGGGGCTTCGAGTTTCGGCGTGAGGGGGGCAGATCATGGGGCATGCTGCGGAGCCTTTATGCCCCTAAACCCTAAACCCCTAAACCGAAACCCCTAAACCCTACATACCCTAAACCCCTACACCCCAAAACCCTCCATACCCTAAACCCCTGAACCCCTCAACCCCAAAACCCCTGAACCTAGACTTTATGGGGTGCCCGGACGATCATGCAATCTGTCGACATTACTACGACGGGCCGTAGTATGATCCCTATGTCGAAGGCGAGGTTTTTCCTTGGTGGGGCCCTATGACGGTTGAGGTTTAGGGTTTAGGGTTTAGGGTTTAGGATCCAAGCCTGAACGTTGGCTGGGGTCTCGATGCACTGCGGACTGTTTTACTAAAGGCGGCATGGTGGGAACTAGAAACACTCAAATCCTAGCCTCATCCCGAACTCTCGAACCCTAAACCTCAAACCCAGAAATCCTAAACCCCACGACCACACAGACCGGCCCCAGCCCGAACCCTAAGTCGTAATACTCAAGGAAAACCGTGCCGCAGCATTGTTGAGCTCTTCTGTATCCCAAGACATGAATCAACTCCGTGGTTTCGGATGTAGGGTTTAAGCGAAGGGCTTAGGGTTGAGGAATTTAGGGTTTAACGCTTACGGTTTAGGGTAGGGTGCTGTCAAAAGGGAGTTGCAGAAAACTAGAGAAGACTCTCAACATCGACTGGAACGAAGAGGATTCATGTAACCCTAAACCCTAAACCCTAAACCCTAAACCCAGTAGGGATGATTCATGTAATAGCCTCCTCAAAAGGAGGATCATGTCTAGGTTCTTTAGGGGTTCAGGGTTTAGCGCTTAGGGTTTAGGGCCTGCAAAAAACTCGGGCTTAGGCTTTGGGGCTTGGTGTTCATCACTATGAAGCCCTTCATGAAAACCGCCAGATCTACTAGAACCCTCAACCTTAAACCCTAAACCCTAAACCCTAAACCTTAAACCCTAAACCCTAAACCCTAAACCGTAGAACCCTCCTGTGAAATCTCGGAAGATCCTCTTAAATTCATAGGAGGCACTGGCTCGGCAAGCCTCTCCGCACATGTTGAGGTGAGGATCTTGGGTTCTCTAACGACTCCAAAAGGTTCTATAAGGGCTTTGGGTTTAGGGTTTAGGGTTTAGGGTTTAGGGTTTAGGGTTTAGGGTTTAGGGTTTAGGGTTTAGGTTCTATAAGGGTTTAGGGTTTAGGGTATAGTCAGCACTCATTTGGGTGGTTGTCAAAATTATGGTCCCATTCTGGGTCCGTAATATAATACGGCACCTAATATTTAGGGTGCACCAAAAAGGGACCCTAATTTTGCAAATTTTGACAACCACCCTAATAAGGGCTCTATAACTATAGGGGGAGAGTTCTACAACATGTAGGGCCTTTTGATTAGAATACGGTTCTGGGGTGTATTACACTATAACCATCAAGAGGAACCGCCCAACGTCGTATAGGTAATTATTAAGGCTCCTATATTAATGTTCGGGATTCGTGTGACTTTCAGGAAGGGCTTTACTTCGCATTTTGTGAAAACCGCCCCGAAATCCTTAACATATGCTTAAAATGGGGATCCCAATATCAAAGCCCGTAAAAAACTAAAGACATGGTTTATACAGCAGGGGTCGACATTAACCGTATTCGGCCTGTCTGTTTGGAGACCCCAGTTTCAAGATTACGTAGCGAGGTGTGCACTACAATTCAGGGACAATACTAGAAGGGACCCCTAATCCTAATACCCTATATAACCCTTATGTACCCCTTATATAGTCTCATAAAGCCCCTATATATATATATATGTATCCCCAAGGGTCCCTTTAAGCGTCGCTCATGTAGTCCCTTGATATAAGGACAGGTCTTAGTAGGATCAGGGTTAGGGTCCAGCGGGGAGAGGTGGACGGTCGACGTCTCTGCGAAGTCTATCGGCGATAACTGCGGAGACCTATGCCACGAGCTTCCTGGCACTCGGCGGACGGCTTCGGATGCTCCACATTTGTGTACTTTAGGGGCCTTCATGATTAGAATAGGGTTTTGAGCTCCTTTATAGTATGATTAGAATAAGGAACCCTAACAATAATGTTGTCAATTATTTCGGCTTCTATATTTAAACAGTAATAATTCGAAGGGGGGGTTTCTGAGCGGGAGAACGCGGAGGAGGCTGAGACGGAGGAGGACCATAAACCCTAAACCGTGTCAGATGTCGGATCTTTATAGTCAGCACTCATTTGGGTGGTTGTCAAAATTAGGGTCCCTTTTGGGGTACCCTAAATAATAGGTGCCGTATTATAATAACCCAAAAGGGACCATAATTTTGACAACCACCCATTTAAGGATCGGGGTTGGGGGTTTAGGGCTCGGGGTTTGCATGGTATTGGATTTTAGGTTCAGGGTTCCGGATGCAATCCCAAATCTCTACATCTGTACGTCAATCCTGAGTCGTGAATACTGAAACAAGGCTTCAACAACTCTATACCCTAAACTCTGAACCCTAAACCCTAAGCCCTCAACCCCAAACCCCAACCCTCAACCCTAAACCCTAAACCTTAAACCCCAACTCTAAACCTTGAACCCGGTTAGCTCACGGAAGTTTCTGCACTTCCGGGATCGAGAACCTTGGCTTAAACAAACAGATCCATGAAACATAATTGGGGTTTAGGGTTTAGGGTTTAGGGTTTAGGGTTTCGCATTTGAAGACCGTAAAAGACGACAAATTTGCAGGTCTGATGAGGACTTTGGGGCCGCGAACACCAGTGCATGGCAGGGGGCGCCGCAGCATCACAGCCCCCAGGGTGCCGGGAGGACACGTCTCGGTCCAGAAGCAAGCCGTTTCGGCATTCGCTCACCGAGACTCCCCTCCTCTTCAGTTGAGCTGACGCAGCAGGCACTCGGGCTTTAGGCTTCAGGGTTGAAGGTATCTACCCATAGGCTCCATCGTAGTTGCTTTTTGGGGTTAACTTACAGGGTACTACACATAAACCCCAAAAAGGAACTACCTAAACCCTAAACCCTAAACCCTAAACCCTAAACCCTAAACCCTGAACCCTGAACCCCAAACCCTAAACCCATGAAGCCCATGGGTAGGCTGTGGCTCTGCGAGTCACGGAGTTTTCAGGATGGCCAGGGTTCAGAGGAATGCTTTGGGAGTTTTTGGGGTTTAGGGTTTAGGGTTTAGGGTTTAGAGTTGAGGGTTCGCGATCCTATACCTAAGCCCGGCTTTTAGGGTTTTAGGGGTTTAAGGGTTTTAGGGTTTTAGGGGTTTAGGGTTTTAAGGGGTTTAGGGTTTTAGGGGTTTAGGGGTTTAGGGCTTTAGGGGCTTAGGGGCTTAGGGCTTTAGGGGTTAAGGGGTTTAGGGGGTTTAGGGTTTTAGAAAGTACAAACTACTTGGGAACATGGACACTGCCGCTCACAAACCCTACGCTTTTAGGGCTCAGGCTCAGGTTGCGGGCCCTAAACGCCTGAAATCAAGGGACTAAAGGAGGGACCCTTAAAGGGCTCCTTGGAGTTATATAGGGGGCTATATAGGGGCTCAATGAGACTATATAGGGGGTATGTAAGGGTTATGTAGGGTATTCGGATTAGGGGTCCCTTCTATAGGGGTCCCTCCTATTGTCCCTTAACTTAAAACCCATAAACCTAAAGCCCTAAACTCCTATAAAACCCTAAATGCCTTGAACCCCATAAACCTACCCATAGGCCCCATAGTAGTTCCTTGTTGGGATTGCCTTATAGGATTCTAGAGATGAACCCCAAAAAGGAACTACTATGCGGCCTATGGGTCCCTAAACCCTAAACCCCAAACCTACCCTAAACCCTAAACCTACCCTAAACCCTAAACCCTAAACCCTAAACCCTTAACCTACCCTAAACCCTAAACCCTAAACCCCCAACCCTAAACCCTAAACCCTAAACCCTACGTTCGAAATTTCAACACGATCCCTTATGCTACACCCCAAGCCCCTGCAGGCCAAGCAGCTGATTCAGAGTCCTGACATGGCGCTCGTGCATTCGGCGATCCGGGGGCATTGGGAACTTGGAGTGCTCCTCCTGGCCCGATTTGTTTCATAGGGTTTAGCGTTTAGGGCTCAGGGTTTAGGGCTTAGGGTTTAGGGTTTAGGGTTTCATACCAGTCAACCCTAAACCCTAAACCCTTACAGTTCAGGGTTGAGGGTTTTACTACGGTTGAGGGGTTTCGGGCTTGGGGCCCTGTAGTACTCTGCGTTTTAGTCTTCTAGGGTTTGAGGGGTTTGGGATACAGAGGTTCAAAGGTACCAACTACCATAGGAGCCTAACTGACTCGAAAAGCAGCTTGGGTGATGTTATACGAACATAGGGAACCCCCAAACCTATGCACTTCTCATTCAACCATAAACCCTAAACCCACCCGAAACCCTAAACCCTAAACCCAGGCTTCTCTAGGACTGCGCTTCGAGGTTAGGGTGTGCTGCAGGGTTGAAGGATTGGAGTCGAACTTCTACGGTCTTAACGAGCATGATCCAACCGGGCACTGCATGAACTACAATGGACTGACATGCACCTCTGGTTTAGGGTTTAGGGGTTTAGGGTTTAGGGTTTAGGGTATAGGGTATCAGAAGTATACCTGCCAGTAGTACTGTTGCTGTGTCAGAACTGACGTTATTGCCAGAAGCATTTCAAGCGCATGGTGTACAATGTAAGCCCGGAGATACCGGGGAGTGCACAGTGACCGGACCCTATGTTTTCAC